AATAGAAAATATATATATATATATATATATATATATATATATAGTGAATAACAATAAATCGAAAAAAATATATCTGTCGTATGAAACAAACTCTAATTAATAGCGATACATTATTAATGATACATCAAATGTCAAATTTTACATTTTTAATTGACAACACGATTTTGCACTAAACTATCGTAGAATAGATGATTTTGCTTCTATAATTGTTTTTTTTTTTTCCTTAACGTATATCGATAAATTTTATATATTAAATCGTCGAATCTCATTAAAAATACATAAGATTATTTTGCAGCTACTTGCCTCCTTTCCGGTAAGAGTCTGAAACAAGGTTAGAATATATTTTCAGAACTGATTATAAATGTTGTAGCTCCGTCTCCGCCGGTCAATGTTCTTACCTTCACTTTGATCAACATTGTTTATGCGTTAAAAAACAATTTAAATAATAATCACTGTATGATTGCAAATTAAAAACTATTGACACAAATATGCGGTTCTTTGAACTGTGGATAAAAAAATTCTGCACAAGTTCCAATGAAAACTCTTTATACCTCCATCTGACGGCAATTCATGAATGTATATATCGATAGTTTTCAAACTTCAAACAATTTCAATTTATTAATACATTTCTTCGAAACAGATGTATTCAAATCCTTTTTATATACATATTCGATTCTAAATTATACAACCATAACTCTTTTATAAGAGATTATGAAGATAAACGTATTTCATAATTAAATAACGAAAGCATTGGTATCAATTTGTACAAATATAATTTATTCATAATTTTTTAGTAATAAGTTTATATCAATTAATGTTATAGATAATGTTATAGATAGTGTAACAATGTAATATAGCAATGCATAATATATAATATTATAATGATATTTGTACGTAATCTCATTAAATTACAAATTAAAAGTTATACATCTTTTTACAAAATAAAAATCGACGAATAAACATTGTTTATCATTACATTTTTAATTTTTCTTCTTGAGCAATTAGTTGATTTTTTATTTTCTGTAAAAGTTCCTTTTTAACAGAATCCGGAACAAGTGTTCTTGCTTTAGTTGTGACCATCGAAAGCAATTTGTCATAAGTAATGTCATGACCATGTTCTTTTATTAATTCTTTACAGATTAATTTTACTTGATCCCTCCATCCACATTCGACTAATCGACGACGTAGCAATTCTTTCAGCCTAAAAAAAAAAAAGGAAAAAGAAGGTTAATTATTATTTTAACGTAAAAAGTCTAATGCAAAAAAAAAAATTATTGAAGAGAATAAAAAAAGTGATATACGAGAATTATCGATAGAATAAAAATATATATTATTCACAGTTAAATATTCAAATTTAGTATTCAAACATAATTCAAAGTAACGGAATATAATATTATAAAAAAATATATGAAGAATACAATGAATATATTTACCCGTCACGATCGCCAACCATAACTAGCCTTTGATGTGGAGCAGTCTTCATTAAGAATATTAATTTTATCTATCTTAATATTAATATAATTATAGATTTCTTTTCGCAATTCTAAAAAGTTTTCCAAAGATAATTCCACTAGTCACCTCTCACTAACATTTAAGACAGGTTATGTTGTTTATCTTTTCAACTTCATAACCTAACAACTTTCATTTCTCGCATAGACGATGAAGTAGCCGAACATGATTGTAGGTTAGGAAAGTGTCGTTTAAAGTGAGTCTTCATTAAAGTAATGTTATAAATATTTATTCACAAATACTTAACATTTTTACAAATGAAATATTTCTTATTCGTACATAGGTATGTAAAATTTAAAAAAGAAATATCCGAATAATGAATAATTGAAAGATATTTTTAGAACATTTATGAAAAATTGTGCAATATTTGTAATAAAAAATTTTATTATAATTATATTTCATAATGCGTATTTTATATTAAGAATCATTTTACATTAATAATATCCTTATAACTAACTTTCAATATTTTTATTAATTATTTTGCATTAATTTTTTTCATAAAATTTTATGAAAAATTAATCTACGTATAATTCAATATTCAATTATTCAATATTATTGAATATTTTATAATAATTATCATCAGTCTCTCTTGTATAAGTAATATTTATCATTATTTTAGGGAATGGCATCAACACGAATAATCAATTATGTTTCATACAAAAGACTTGTAGCAATCTCTAATTTAAAAAATGTATGCATTCTCTCTGCTTTTAATATTAATTCTAATTTTCGACAAAATGCGTATTATTGCACAAAAAAATCAATTGTTAAAACAGATCCTGTGGAACGTGAGAATAAAATACAAGTTGGATTTGCGGATGTAGGTAAATTTCGTATATATATGCGAAAATATACATGATATAAAAATCGATGCTACTCTGATTATTATTTTTATTTCAGTCAAAGAAAATACAAAATCTATTGGATACTTAGGCGTGATAATTGGTGGTATAGGAATTACAGCTTTCATGTTTTATATCATTTTTGATGAATTATTTTCCAATAAAAGTCCAAATAGTGTGTATAGTAAAGCGTTAGATCGCTGTATTAAACATCCTAAAATAATAGATGCTCTTGGAGAACCGATAAAAGCGTACGGGGAAATGGGTAGACGTAGAAGTCACATAAGGTAAACTTATACTCGATTATTATTTTCCATTATCATCTTTTTTATTATCGCTAATGATACGTATAATATTGCAGTCGTATTATCTTTGAAAAAAATGGAATACGTCACATGAGAATGAAATTTTATATACAAGGTATAAGAAGACGTGGAACTGTACACTTGGAAGTGCAAGAAGTAAGACATAATGCTTTAAGTATTAGTATTTCTTAGTACGCTTAATTTGATCTTAATTCAAAATTTAATTATAGGATACATCTGGTAATTACATATACAGATATTTATACGTAGTTGTGGATGATATTCAAACTGTTATTAAAATAGAAGATAATAGAGAGGTGAACAAAAACTTCAGTACCGAGACAGAAGATCAATGGAGCTAATATATTAGGTCTTTCTAATTAATATTTGATATATCGTGTATAGAAATGCTTATAATCGATTATTTGCAATATACGATTATTTTAAATATACTTTTATAAAATTTGTGTCAAATAAAAATGCTAGAACTTAGAAAAATTGTTTTATACTCATTTATAAATAATAGATAATAAAAGATAATCGCAAAATTAATTACGATAACGCATATTTGATGAAAGGAAAAACGCTCGAAAAGAATAGAGTTTAGTTTTGTTAAAATTACGTTATCATTAATAGGAAAAGTATTTCTTTGGAATTGTTTTACTCATAAAGGAAAGAGATAAATAATGCGATGACAAGATAAAGATATATAAAGATCGTTAGCGATCGCCTAAAAATTGACCGAAGGCTACACAGATCTTGATGTCTGCATCATTCACGATGCCAACTGATTCTCTGACAGTCGCTCATTTACTTGCGAGCAGATCGACACAACGCATCGCCTATATCAGTCCGTGTTCGAGTTTAAAATGTGAAGTGATATCATTCATTTGATTACATTTCTTTTTTTTGAATCTTTTAAATTTTTCAGAATTATCGATACTCGAATTATATTTATAGTAATTTTTAACAAACTTATTTACGATAAATTTATTTACAACAAATTTTTTTACGATAAACGAAAATATCATTACAAATGTTTATCTTTTTCGTATATATGTCTCGATAATTTAAACGCGATTTAAAACTATTAATTAACAGTTTTCCAATGTTAGAATCGATTCGTTCATAATAATTCATAGCCGAACCGAAATAAAAATATCTTTGATCGAACGATCGATAACGCAAGATTCAAGTTTTCTTTCCGTGTCAAATGTTCTTTTACGGATAAATATGCATCACATACTTAAGATACGTTTCGTAATGATAAATTAAAACGAAGTGACGTGTAAAACGTGACGGAATCGAAATAGAATCGTCATAAAATATCGTGGAAAGTATGGAAGATATAAACTTTTGAATTCATTACTGTAAAAGATTGGAGGGGAAAAAAAAGGAAAAAAAAAAAGGGCAAATTTTGTTCGTGTTTCTCAAGATTCAGAGCAATCTTTAGACCCGAAACTGTTACAGACAATCCTCTCAACCCATTATGTACAAAACCGGAATGTCTTTCACGGCCACCTGCTGCATCTAATTCTGGTAAGTTACGAACAACATGTGTCTACAGATTTTTAATAAATTCCGGGATCACTCCCGGGAATTCTCGATATCGAATGTTTAATAACAGTCGTATTTTTATCGTATCATCCACAACTTTTATTTTCCTTAATTTATAAAAGTTAATTTCCCATTTGCATTTTTCTTTTGCATCGACTTCGATATATATAACCTATTAAATACATATATACGTATATATCGTGTAGATGAAAAGGATTAATTAATGACACATTAGAGGTCAAGATCCAGTACATTAGTCACACAAAAGGCACGTGTCGGACGAAAATCTTGATATGTCGATTAAATATATCTCTTTTTGGGAGAAAATTCGTTCCACGAACGCGATTCAAACAGAACTCGATGGTTCATCACTGGTACGTGAATATGTGCAATATAGATAAAAGCGAAAGCAAATGGAGGTAATTCACAAAGGATTTCAAAAGTTTCCTTGGCCCGAGTAACGTTTTTCTTCTTCTTCTTCTTCTTCTTCTTCCTCTTGTATACTTTTCAAATCTATTTTAAGAAAACGCGTGCTAGCCAACTATAATATAATCTTCGATAATACGAGAAATGTTTTCGATCATCGCTTCTCAAAATCATTCAAGATTGTTCCGAAATATTTGCTTTACGTTTCGTTCGACGCGACGGTCACTTCTTTATCACGCGAATACATCATTATTTCGTCGATTTTTCTTTCATTTCTCTTTCGATGTGGATACGCTCGAGAGGATACGAACGATTTACGAGAGAACCTTGGAAGAAATATTTTTTCGAAAGTTTGAGCAACAGATATGTTTCGTTGGAAATTAGCAAGCAAACAGAAATCGACGTGAGTTCCGTCCGGCGCTTAAAGATTCGGTCGATAGTACTTCACCAAAGAAAATAAACTCGGGCTCCCAGCCAGATGGAAAATCTCAGTTTTCGCCTCTTTCGCGAGCAGTTGACCTAAATCGAATTATTCGACGATGCGTCGTTACTTTTATCTCTCCATCTTTTCCTATCCTGCCGCTCTCTTTCTTTCTTTCTTTCTTCCTTATGGACGAGCGGTGGGAAAAAAGTGGAAACGAACGCGACGTGCATTTAGCGGCCTCGAGGTGTGGCCATTGCCATGAATGAAAGTAAACTTACGCAAGTGGCGCCCTGACCTCTGTATCATGACGTCACCCGCAATTACGCAAACTATTAATATTGTGTCCGAGCTTTTTTTCTCTAAATATAAATCCGATAAATTTATGTGCCCCTACAGATCGAAAGCGGAACGAATCACTTTCTATGAATCATCTTCATCGAGATCGCATCGAGATTATTACTCACGCGAAACGAATCTCAACTTTTGACGCGATTACGCCCCCCTCCGTTTTCAAGACCCCTTTCTATCTGTCCAATGTTGCACGATCGAAGCTAGCCGATAGAAAATAGCCAACCACGGTGCGTTGCACGCGTATGATAAAATAAAATTTGATCAACGAGCGAAAAATGCGAATCTGTTCGCCTCCTTTTGTTTCGTTCTCTTCGCATCGAAGATAAACATTGTCGACGAGAGAACGTTAATTTCACTTTATGCGGTTCTACGGCTCGCGTAAAACACTACAAGTGGAAGAGAAAAGAAAAATATTCGCTACTTATCTTGGCTCGCTCCTCCTCGTCTTATACGCGTGTTTGGTACGATCGTTTCACTTTACAGTAGCATTCCAGCGATTAAGATTCATCGTTGCGTTTCCTCGCGTCTTCCTTTCCCCTTCGAGTCTCGAGCGTGATTAAATTAATCTCGAATCGAAAGTGATTGAAATTATCGACGAGGGCTCTAGAAAGAAATAAATCGTCGCGTCCCGATTCTTTTTTACACGGCGTTAAATGCGTAACATGGCGCGTCATCGATTCTTATGGATAATCTGCATTCTAGAGCGCTTGTGCGTTACTCGTATATATAGCCGACCAACTGAGACCGTTATTTTTAATCGAAAACAATACCATTAGGTACGTGGATGCTATAACTTCTCTCGCGGCTTACCGGCCCACCAAAATAGAATCGGTTTCGTACGAAACCGGTCGAAATGATCGAACGGCGGCTACCGTGTCGATTGCTTTGCGCAATTCGATCAATTTTCGATTATCCACGACTTTGTCTCCATGCATTATTATTATTATTCAGGAGGAAGGAAATCTTCTTTATTGGGCGAGAGTGCGGCGAGAGTATCCAGATGGATTTTTGTAAGAAAAAATAAAAGTATTTTTGCACCGTATTTTATGAACCGCGGAGAACGAGAATTTTCCATCTTTTTAAAAAATCGATCGAAATAGACGAGGACGCGAATCGCGGCAAAAGCGGGTGACGGTCAATGCGAACGAGTCGTCGTTTTCCAATTAATTGCAACGCAATCGCGGATATTCTTTTCCAAGGCTTAGACGATTTACCTTCTCTCTCTCTCTCTCTC